TTCCATTCAATGGTTTTTATGTTTTATAGTTAGCGTTGAGTTAATGGGAACTCATATGCATTAGAAGTGTTTGTTTTTGGAGCACATCTGGTGCTCACCAACACTATAGCTGTTACTTATAAGCAATTTGAAAGGCATCGCAACTTTGGCGCATAAATACATTTACCCTCAAAACAAATTTCATCCCAACTTTTAAACCCCGAAAAAAATCAATTTTGTATTCATTAACGCGTGCAATGGTTTTACACACAACTGTGGGCTGAGACACAAGTTTTTGTCAATAAATGTAAATTAAATTTAAACTGTATTTCGTTCGTACTCTATACTTAACAAAAAACATATTTATTTTGAATTATACTAATTATATAAAAAAGGTTTTCGATTAAACTTTTTATTGACCAAACAAATGGATATTATTATAGGAATTATATCACAGAATATGTTGTCATTAAACCGCATTCATGTGTTGGTATAGTATTGTATTTGATTGCAATGAAATTGATATAAAATTCAATTTTCAGTTCATATAAAGAAAGAATGAAAAATAAATGTCAATTCATTCCTGCACTGTATTCGCTATAACTTTACGTGTAATCACATTTTGGCTTCAAATGAAAACTTCTTTTTATAACTCACTTCACATATAAAAGTAAAAGTGGTTTATTGTGTATTTTGGGGAAAACTTAGCTTGTATTCATTTCTTATTAAATTTTGTTTTCTATATTTCACATATAAGGACAAATCTAATGAGAAAAATGGAAATATTATTTTCTGAAAGTTTGTTGTTTATGTTAAGAATCAAATAATAAATTATTTTATTTAATATTAATATTTTCAGAGTTTGTTTAAATATTTACTATTAAATTAATTTTATTGAAAAATGAATAATTATTATAAAATTGAGTTCTTAAAGTTTGTAGTATTCTTAGTGTTACATATATATACATATATATAGCTACCATACATATACAGTAATAGTTAATCTTTTATATTTGTCTTATTTATTATATAAATAAATAATATGTCTATAAGAATTTACGACATAATAAAATTTCTATAATAATTTGCAAATAAAAGTGTAATTTAAGTCTGGAATATTCAATAAAAGTAATAGAAGTAAGAATATTTACTTAAGAATTTATTTACTCAATATCCAGTACTGTATACAGCAAAGTATACTAACACTATTATAATACATAAAATCGCATATACATTATATTTACGTTTATTTATCTCATATACAGAATAATAAAATTGTCATAAAATAAGTTTATTTAACGTATAATACATTATGTTTTAAAATATCAAATATACAGTTAAATGAATATCAATCATTAGTGTGTATAGAATAAAGGAAATAGTATTATTAGTAAAATTATATACATTGACAATATGTTACAAATATACTCCGGGTCTCAAGCCCTAAAACAGTCCACATATTAGTATTATTAGTAAAATTATATACATTGACTATATGTTACAAATATAATCCGGGTCTCAAGCCCTCAAACAGTCCACATATAGCTGAAGAACTGTTCGCTTTGCCAGAAATAGCAGCGATCGCTTTGATGGTAATTAGTGGTCACTATTGAGGTATAGTTCAGTTGTGACACTATTTCAGCCGTTTGTTTAGGGAATGATTGCCATTGAAATGATTGCGATAAGTCGGACACATTGTCAGCCTTTATGAATGCCATCACTATTTGCTGTACTGTTTCGCTAATTGAATAGTCATTAAATGTTGGCCAACGGATCCATACCTCCAATTGGCCGAAGAATGAGATGATGTCCATCAGATGAAATGAATAGTTCACTCCGTGTTCATACACCCGAACCTATAGTCGTATGGATTTAAATAGTCATTAAATGTTGGCCAACGGATCCATACCTCCAATTGGCCGAAGAATGAGATGATGTCCATCAGATGAAATGAATAGTTCACTCCGTGTTCATACACCCGAACCTATAGTCGTATGGATTTGATATGATTTACATTTTAGTTTCATTTGAAATATTTATTTTATTAAGTTATTGAATATTTAATTCTAAAAATGGATATCATTTCACTTAAATATAAAAATGCAATTTTGCTTAAATAAATTTAAATTTTAATCTAAATATTTTCCACACGAATATAAAATATATCAAAAAGTATAATAAAATAAATATATTGATCATAGAATTGGTATTTTTATCATTTAATATGTTTGAGACCTGATCAGCATAAATAATAATCTTATTATAAACAAGTCTATTACATTTTGCTTAAAATTTTATTTAAATTTATATTCCTAGGTAATTTATAAGACAATAGTTGAATACATACTGGTTTGGAAAATCTTGCGTTGAAAATATATCGAAATATATTAGGATTTTGTGCATTCATTGCGAGAACCTCTGAGAGATAATTAATGGGACAAATCTGTCGCAAATCTGAAACCATAGTTATGTACTGTAGTTGTGGTGTCAATGGCTCCGAGTCTGGCGAGTGGTGCGACGATTGGTAGAGACTGAGACTTAATTGTGATAAACGGGGTCCAAATGAGTCCATACTTGTCGTCACGTATTTGCTGTAATCACTCCACGACCAGTTCATCAAGTCTTTAGGCCCGGGCCAGAAGCCTATGGCCTGACTCGACGAGCCTATCAGTAGTGGGATATCACTCGACAACTTCGCAAACGGATAGAAATCTCTTACAATTGTGTCTGAAATTTAATGACAAAAAATAAACCACATATTCTGTAATTACATATCAATTCAGTTTTAATTGAAAAATAATGGTACTGTATATCATATATAGAAATAATTTAAATAAGTGTAAATGGCTTAATTTTGTTTAATACATTAATTGATATTTAATACTGTAGTAGAGTTTGCTGTAAGCACTTACTGTCGACAGTAATTAATTGTTGTCCCAAAATGCCTAAAATGGGTAAATCGTTTTGATCGATAATACGAAAGGAGGGGTCGTTTTTGCCGATAAACGCTTTGATTATATGCTGAGCCGATAGGGAACGCAAACAATCAATAGTTTGACAATTAGTTCGCTTTAAAAAGTTTTTCCTGTTTTCTTTGGACGCACTGGCGATTGATTTATCAAAATAGACAGCCGGATCTATTAGCCAACCGGAGTAATATAGGGACCGGTAGTTATGGTTAGACATGAGGGCTAAGATGAGCGCAGCGCCTGAATCGGCGCCAAATAGTGTCACTTTCCTATTGTCGCCGCCAAACGATTTGATGTTTAATTGAATCCATTGCAGAGCCAGTATGACATCCATGAGCCCAAAATTGGTCGACTCTTTGGTGTTATTCTTCAATAAGTCGAGCGCTAAGAACCCCAACGCATGGAGTCTGTAGTTTAGGCTCAGATACACTATATTTGTCTTTTTGGCTAACTTTCCGTTCGGTTTTAAGCCCGGCTGGTGTCCCGATCCAAACTGGAGGAACCCCCCGTGAATCCATACCATCACCGATAGGTTTGCCTTCAGATATAATAAATGTGATTAATGTCTTAAATAAATATTTCGTACTAAAGTTTTAATTAAAAACTCAAACATTCACTCATATTTGAAATCTAATTATCTTAAAGATAATATTTGCTCTAAAAATATAAGAAAACATACGAAATATTTAATCTAAATAATAATGTGTAATAAGGAAAAAGTGAATGTATTATGATTTCAATATTAATGTTTATATTTCTACTAATTTTGAATTAAAATATTCATAAATCTTATAGAGAAATATTCTCGTTTTTACTTATGAAACACAAATTAACAATTTTCTGAAAAGGATTTTTGTTAAACAATTAAAATATTTGAAAGATTATTTTTAAAATAGACTTTAATTCACTACAAGAGATTGATAGTAAATTATAGAGATTATGCTTCTTACTGTTATATAAGTATTTTTAGATTTATCTGAATTAAATGGTATTTTACAGTATGTGGGAATCTACTTAGTAATCTAGTAAATTCCTTTTAAAAATATTTCAACAGATTTATTGAACTAAAAAATTTAGCAAAAATAAAAATTGAAATAAACTTTTCAATTAAATTTATAAATTTCATTTTAACGAAATTCGAGTCCCGATAATTTAAAATTTCATTTATACTTAAAACGAAATAAAATAAAATGCTTTTAAAAAATAATTGGATTCACTAATTGATGTGAAAATAAATAAATGTAAAACTAAATGAACACTAATTTTATATTTACTATAACATAGCTATTTTGCACAAAGCTAAATCCAATTAAAATATTTTAGAAATTCTCTC